AAAAAAAAAAAAAAAAAATCACAGTATACAGTACATATTTCCTCCCCCAATTTGCACTCAATTGAATAGATGATGTACAACCACGTGTGAATATAAAGCCAAGAATAACCATAGCCAATAACAAATGAAAACGTACTGTTCTCTTACGAAGCATTGCTGGTAGCCACTGGTTGAGGAGGTAGCTTCCTTAGTTAGCATCCCATTCTTGATTACTTGTTTTCTTTCCAAATAATTTACAAACACATATAATAACCAATAATCAAACTATTAAAGGATTTGTACATTTTCACATCGGACATCTCAAACAATCAATGGCCATTTTGGTTGGTGTGAGAATTTACACACCAATTCAAGACTTTGTGAAAACAGAAAATAAATCCAAAAGATTAAAATTGAATGGTGCATCGTACGGACAAATGTACTGTTGGTGGAAGAAAATGTTTCTCTATATTGCCTAGATTCCTGAGTGCTCACATGACGTGGACTCGTGGGTACACGCTCAGAGGGTGTATCCACCTTAATGTGTAGAGTCATGCTCCAGCACACCAAACATGAGTCAATCCCTCATCACTCAGTCTCACACTACCACTCAGGTCAGCTCTCCATGAAGACAGATCTACTGTGCATTTATATGCTTTACATTATACTACCACTCTTCTAATGGCCTAAACAATAAAACTGAAAGACAACATACAGAAAGAGTCTGAGTCACTTGCTGATCATACAGCTAGATTGCAAAGACAATGAAGGTAGTGAATTCATTTTATGGTAATTCCACAATATCTCTTATTTTCCTGCTTTTGTGCCATGATGCCTATTTATTTTGGTTGCCAATTACTTCACTGTATACAGTAGTACAACAGGTACATGGACTACACACAAACAACGCAAAAAAAACTTTTAAATGCAAAAACACATTGTAGACACTTGTCTTTAAATATCTCTGGTTGAATGATGATCACCCACATTTCAATTTTAATGGTTCATTTCATATTTTTGGCACTGCTTAAACACGTTCTTGTTGACTCAGCTTGCTGCCAGTCTGGTGCTGTGCTCACATCATCATGTTGGAAGAAGTGGAAGAGCAGGATTATATTCGCGTGTTTATCTTGGACAGTATTCATTTGTTTAATTTGTCACCAAGACAAATAATTTTTAAATCAATCAAATGTATGTCAAACATCACTCTACTCATGGATCCAACTAGGGTGAATACAGCTAATTTTTTAGACTTCTTGTTTGTAGCCTATTTGTCACAAAACATTTACAACTTGCAAAGCAAAATTAAACCAAAGCATCATCATTTTCTTTTATAACATCCTGGCAAATATTCTCTTTAATGCTCAGCATTAAATCATACAACTCACATATCTGAATGTTAAATATGGAGCTAACAGTCACTTGGGCGGCATAGCAGCACGGTGGTTAGCGCTGTCGCCTCACAACAAGAAGGTTGCAGGTTCGAGCCTTTCTGTGTGGAGTTTGCATGTTCTACCTATGCGGGTTCTTCCTAGTCTAAATACATGCAGCTTAGGTGGGTTGGAGGGTTGTGTCCAGAAGGGCATCTGGCATAAAAACGTGCCGTATCAAATCAATCGGATTTGCTGTGGTGACCTCTAACGGGAACAGCCAAAAGTAGAGAAGAAGCTAGCAGTCACTTAGGTTGGCATAGCCTTACTCTGTTTGAGAGCAACATAAAGCACCTACCAGAGTTTTCGAAGCTCACAAAATAATGTTCCATCCTGTTTATTTAAGCCTTCAGTTTTTGAATTGATTAAACAGGCTAGCTGTTTTGCTTCGTTTTGATGGTAACTAGCTGCTTCCTGTAGCTTAAAGACAATGAATAAGCATACTTCCCAAAATGTTGAATTATTCCTTTGATTGACATGAGCAACAATGGGCAGTTATTAATTTTAAACTTTTTACACTTACTGAACTTATTAAACACTGTATTAAATAGAACAATGAGTGAACAATTGTTCTGTCAGTGAAAAATAATCTGAACATCTGACAGACGCAGGTCAGGCAAAGAGAGGTACTGTTGTCCAGGTGAATACTTGGGTTCTATTCTATATCCAGGACCACTATTCACACACCTCAAATCATCTCCACCAAGACACTCCTGCTGCTCAAACATCTTTCAAACCCACCATGCATAACTGTTGCTAAAACAGTGATATCTGCTACTTCTATCACATTCTTAGTCTTAGGAACTTAGTAAAGTTCTAAAGAAGCAAAACACTTCCTAGTAAAGTGTTTCTTACAGCCTGGCATTTATCATTTCTCACACCGACAGATTACGATTGCAAGCAATTAGGGCACGCCTTTTTTGCTGATGTTACATTATTCCCCTCTGGTGAGTGAAGACCACTTGAAAGTTACATTCACACATAAAAGTCTAGAATGATTATTATATTTGCTACATTTATGTAAAAAATAAAAAAATCCAAGTATAAACTCAACAGTTGCTGTGGAGAAGCTTTAAAAATCGACAAGACGTACATACAACTATTAAAATTTAAAAAGCTTATAAGTACAAGTAAAACAGACAATCTTTGACACACACAGTGAGGTTTGCAACATCATGAAGTTCACTACAAAAGTGGCAGGCACTGGTGGCAAGGTTTTCCTTTGCAAGATCCTTTGTCGACTAGGTTGTTACATGATGTGCTCAGTTCAATTTAGAAATTGTCTCTAAATTCAAAAAGCATACCGAGCTCCCTTTAAATGACTGGCTGCATCTCTGTTTACACAGTAATGACAAATATAAGTGCTTGCTGAATAGTCCTTTAGCAGTTTGGTAGTTGGCACATGTTGTTTGACATAAAAATATTTACTATTCTAAATTCACATGACCAAGAGATCTGTGCACACAGACATACTGGAGCTTTGAAGTGCCCTTAGTCCTTGACTCGAGGTAAGATGTAGGAGTAGTGTACAAGAGGAAGGCCTCTGCTCTGACAGAAGCAGGCTCTGCCACAAGCCTGAACTTGGTCCGAACTGTCTGACACAAATGAGTCCCCCTCGTCTGCATATTCAGACTGAGCAGAAGGTGTGCCACTGTCTGCCCAAAACCCCTCAGCACGGTGGCACACTGCAGCTCCTGCCAAGAGGGTAGGACAGCTGTGAGACTTCACCAAGTGTCTACAGACTGTGGAGGACGAGGGGGAAGAACAGGTCCTGGCATGCAGCACTGCCTCACACTGATCGCATAAAACTGTCTCTCCGCAAAGCTGTGAGTACACCCCACAGTCAAAGCCCATGTGAGTGGAGGAGCCTCCATCTGAGAGCTCCGACCCTCCAACACCATCATCTCTGTGACTTTCAGCACCAGCCTTCACCTCCCTGGTCAAACCTCCGCAACCACGTGTTCTCTGCCAGTCCTCCCTGAAGGCCGGGCTGAAGAACACATAGAGCACTGGGTTCAAGCACGCAGGCAGTGGGAAGAAAATGAGGATGACTGACTTGGCAATCTCTGGACTGCCAGCTGTGGAGCCAGTCAAGAGAGGGGCAAAGGAGAAAGCTGCCACAGGGCAAAAGAAGATACAGTTGGTGAAGATGAGCCAGGCCACGTGTCGCAGGGCACCTGTTTGCTCTGGATCTGCTAGCTCCACCCTGCCAAGGTAGCAGTACAGCTTGGTGTACACGGCTGCAGTGAACAGGTAAGCCAGCGCATTGAGAAGCACTAGAACCACTGTAACACTCAGAGCTGGACTCTCACCACCGGCAAATGGCAGACAGAGAGGAGAGGTGGACTGGTCACTGGAGGTCAGGAGAGGCAGACATGCTGCAGCAGCAGCCAGCAGACCCAGCAGTCCTGCGGCGAGGCTGAAGCGTCGATCTCCTCTCCAGCACCCACGATGGCTGTCACCGTTCCTCCTGGGTGACATCATCACCTTCCCAAGAATTGTCCGCACAGCCACGCTGCGCTCCACAGCTGCGAGTGACACTAACAGGACTGCCCACTCTGATGAGAAGACAGCCAGAGATCCTGTGATATGACAGCCAGGCCCCATTTCCCACCACACACCAAACTCAGCGAATGAACCCCAGGTAGCAAAATCGAGCACGGTCAGCACACCTACATACAGACCAGTGAGCAGATTGGCCAAGGCTAGTAGCCCCATCAGCAGCCTGGCTGGAGAGAGGGATGAAGTCAGGACTCGGTGTGTGGGTGAGAAGGTAGCCACCAGCACCAGGCTGTTAAAGACCAGTGACACTAGGCAGATGAACCAGACGGTCAGCCGAATCATCCAGTTACCCAGGAGGTGCTCACAAGGCTTGAAGGCTCCTGAAAACAAAAACAATGTAGTTTGAGAGGGTACACTTCATTTGGCAATTAATTTTAACATTATTTCAAAGCTCTTCAATATTGATTGGCCAAAGTAAATATGCAGACATATGAGCAAACATATAAAACGCTGACTAATGCTTACCTGGTGAAGGAGAGCAATGCATAATCATTGATATTCTTTCCACATCCTCCCCGCCTAAATAAGAGATTGGATGTAAGAAATACAATTATAAAAAAACACACACACACACACTCTTAATCCCAAATAACAGCCTTGCCAACAAAAGTAGTCAAGCGGGTTAAGTATGAAGTATGTTAACAACCGTTTTTGTTTGACTTTCCAAAAACAACAGTTAAGGTTAATTATTACAGAGGTAACCGCCCAGAACCTGAAATTCATTTTCTGTCACTATGCCATACAGACAGTAATATAGAATAAAAATGTGGGAAAAGTCAACTTTACTACGATTCTGGACTAGTTATAAAAAGGAAAATTAGGCATTTACACACACAAAAATAAAACACCAATTAAAGACCTATATCTAAAGAAAATGTTTTATTTCAGAAAACTGAAGTGAATGTCAGGCATACTGATCCTGAACTTTGATTACTGATCACATAAACCAGGCTATGCTACACAAACATGTGCACAAAAACTAAACTTTACATAGTTTCATTCAAATTAATTTTTTTCATGACAAAGCAGGAAATGTATTTAATGTTAGTTATTTAATGCAATAAAATATAGTGCATCTGTTCCCTGACACATACAAATGCAAAAAAAAGGCTGCAGCATTCACACCTGTAGGTTTCTTTATATGGTTTTCCTCAGAGGAACCTGTCACTGAGACACACCCAACAAACGCACAGCACTGGTAGGCATACGGGACCGAGATGGACCTATAAACAAACAATAAATATTTAGAAAGGCTGTAAACATCCTGTATCAATACAGATGGTACAGAAACTTAATACAGTAAAAAACACAAAGTATAAGTAAAAGGGTTTGTCTGTAAATATCTGGACATTGTGACTCTTTGTAGCTGTTTCCACATGGCATTTACAGTTTATTTATACAAAGAGAGGAGGGATTTCTTTCTGGTTTTTTTACTCAGTCGGTCAAATACAGTACATATAACTGCAGCAGAAAGAGAAAACAGGAAGACAGAGGTGTGTTCTTTGTTGGGTACCTTTTGTTCACTATAGGATTAGTCCAATTTATTCCGTTTATAAAATTTTGCATTGGTCAGGGTTTCTTTTCCAGTTCATTTGCTTTGCTGATTAACAACAACTTGACTCAACAGCTTGGCTTGAGTTTGTGAAGCACAGCATGTATGCTGTGCTTTCTACATTAGCATTTTGGACTGAATTCCTATTTGTGTTACAGACTGTGTACTTTGGATGCAAGAACACTGCACACTGGTGGTGGGGGTGAAATGATGCACTCCAATTGAGACACATAAAAACATCACCCAACCCCAGACCTAAATGCTTTTTATTTCAATAGACCTCAATTTTTCTTTGGGTTTTCAACAAATCACAATAATTGTGTGTTAAACATTTAGTCTTTGAAGTATTCTTAGGGCATTTTGTGCAGAACACAAGGGAAGAGAGAGATAAGGGGAATCACAGACAAGAAAAGTCCAAAGGTCACTAGGCTGGATTTGAACTGCATTGTCAGCGCCTTAAAGCTCAAGGCCACGTGACCGCTCAGTGTTACAGTTTGCTAAACACTTCAGAAAATAAGACTTGATATTACTACACAAAGGCTCTTTCCTACCTGAGTTTGGGAAGATTCTTTGCAGTCAGTATGTTTTTCATCTGCGGGTTCCCTGAAAGTTTTAGTTGACTGAGGACGCTTAGTCCAGTTGTTGGAACTACAGTCAGAGAGTTCATACTCAGATCTCTACAAAAATGATTACACACACACACACACACAGAATTTAATTCTGCACAATACGGATAGTCACACCAAACATTTATATGCAACTGCAAATCTGTACTCATTTTGATGAAAGGTGGTAAAATAATAAACAGGTCATACTTACAGGTTGGTGAGTGCAGTGAGGGTAAGGAAAGCATCTCTGTGAATAACTCTGATTTCATTCCTACTCAGGTCTCTGTGTGAAATCACAATGCAATCCAGACATAAATCATTTGTTTTTACATCACCAGTGTGTTACTGTGTGCGTTGCTGAGTATGTTGCTGAGTGCATATGACCAAGTGGACTTACAGTAAACGGAGAGCAGAGAGACCTTGGAAAGTGTCCCTTTCAATTTGTTGAATATGGTTGTGCTGAAAGCTTCTGTAAATTCAAAACAAGAACAGATAATAAACAAGCAAACAATTACCTTTATGACCTTAATCATTTGTTATTACATTATATCATTTTTAATCTTAAGACAGAATCTATCTTTCAAGCTTTACTATCCTTGTCTGCAATGATCTGTGAACTGACTTCTACCATTCAACACTCACATCTCCTGCAGTCGGACGCAGCCCTGTAGGGATGGCAGCCCCTTGATCTCATTGTACGACAGGTCTCTGATGGAGGAAGAAAACAGCTTCAACAATTAGACAACAATGTAAAATGAAATAATTGTAACAAAAAGTTGAACTGTTAAAACCATAGTTTACCTGTCAAACTAAACTAGGACAATTTCTATTATCACCTAAGTTCCTTAAATCTTCAGCAAGTGCAATTATTTTTAGAAATGGACAAAAAACAGAAAAGTCTCTTACAGCGTCCGAAGCATCTTGAGATCTTCACACACATCAGTGGGGATGGACAATATCTTGGTTCCTGACAAGGTCCTAGAAATTAAAAACGTTATCAGCCATTACACACACAAGAGCACAAGGAGGAACAGATGCTGTATCCAAGTTCACTCACAGAGTCTCAAGGTTATTAGTCCACGTAAGGATGGGGAAGTCCTGCATCATACTGGCCCCTCGCAGCATCCTAAAACACAGGGGTTGACAAAGAATAACTAATAAAATCACTTTCATGAGCATAAAACCATGAGTTGGTATGGATAAAACAAGACACAAGAGCCCTTTAAAACAAAGTTACTTTATTAATTACATTTTTAAAGTCCTCACTGACTGAAAGAGTTCAGACAGAGCTCGTTAAGACTGATTTGTCAGGAGTCATGCCTGGCAGCGGGACTTACAGGGAGTGCAGGTCAGACAGATTCTGGAAAGCTGAAGCACCCACAAAGGACAAAGGGTTGTCATAGAGATGCCTGTGGGGCAGCAGGA